AAAAAACGAAACAAAGAAGTCATTGCGCATCTCTGCCATTTCCAAGTTTCCTGTTATTGTTTCTTCCTCTTCACTGAGCAAAGGGCCTACCCTGTTCTTGGTCTTCCTCTTGCTTCTAATACGTTTTTAGACTGTCGTCTTGGTACCCTTTATATGTCTAGCTAGATTGAGCTCATTTTGTGCCTTCACCTTTCTAATCTTTCCCCTGCATACTTGTGGTGTTTATACTTGTGTGCTTATATTCATCCTTAGTAATTTGTCCTTATTTTAAGAGGAATAAGGGATCTTTTGGAAAAGGCTTTATTTTCCGAAAGATCCCCGTTTAGACTGGCGCTTTTTTCCGGCAAAGCCCCGAGCCGGAAAAAAGCGGCAGCCATGTTCATGCAATTGAGCGGGGGAGATGTAAATCCCCGCTTCATTTGCAATTCCGACTTGTCTCATCTGCATCCCTTTTCCGGAAAAGGGGTGCAGTGTAGATATAGCCCTTGTGTTTTGCTTACAACACTCCTGTTAATGCATCCTACTTGTGAGTTAATGTTCCCCTAAAATCAATCAATATAATATCACAAAATTGGCAAAAAGTGAAAAGTAAATTCAGCAATTCCTGGGCCAAGGTGGTAAACCTTTAATCTACAGCAGAAAAAGAGGATTAAAATTGCTAACAAAGAGTGCTGGTAGCCTCTTACCTAACGGAAGTTCACAGCACAAAAGTACGCTTTATACCATAGAACTACAGAGTTGCAAATATCTTGAAATGAACATGTATCAAAGGGGTAGCCGTGTTAGTCTGGATCTGCAAAAGCGACAAGGAGTCCTGTGGCACAGGTGCCACAGGACTCCTTGTCGCTCTTGGAATGAACGTTGTTTGTAACTGAAATGTTCATAACTCTGAAGAAACCATTAGGATTGTTTTTTCAGTAATTTACAATTGAACATTGACTTAATAAAGCTCTGAAACTTTATTAGGCATATGAAAAATGCTGCTTCTCCTATTTTTTTAGTAGTTTACACTTAACACAGTACCATGTCCTGTTTTTGTGTTTTTTGGAATGTGTGCAGTTGACTACTCAATTTGCAACTCTAGTGTTCATAATTCTGAGGTTTTACTGTACTGTATTAGTTTAATCCAAAATTTGAATTTTTAACTGACTGGTTTAACTAAAAGATAGCAGGCACGAACAATCAAATGAGCATAGTTGTCTCCATACTAATGCAAGAAGTATGGGGAACAAGAAGGAAGAACTTGAAATACTAGCAAACACAACTGTGATATAGTTGGCATCACAGACTCGATAGAATAATATGCACAACTAGAATACTAGTATAGAAGGGTACAGCTTGCTCAGGAACAGCAGGCAGGAGAAAAAAAGGGAGGAAGTGTTGCATTATATATTAAAAACTAACAGATTTACCCACCTCACTCAAGTCCTTAACGAAAAAAAGGAAGGAAGTGTTGCATTATATATTAAAAACTAACAGATTTACCCACCTCGCTCAGGTCCTTAACTCCTGTTTTTTTTGTTTGTTTGTTTGTTTTGTTGTTTTTTTAAGGAAAATGTACATGCTTTATTGAAATAATTGTATTTTTGAAAAAAGTGTGTTATTTAATGTTAGTAAATTTTTGTAAATAGAATTCCATCAAGTGTATGTTTTCTTCTTCCCTGTAAACTCATCATTTGTTTTAACAAAAAAAAGGGGTTATAGTCAATTTAATTTCCAATAATGTCTTCCAGTTTTTAAACCTTAAGCATTGATTTAGCTGTGCCAAAACAGAGCATGTCTCCAAATTTCTCTATTTTATCTTTTCTGTTAGGTTTATTGATAAGTAATCCTATACCAGGCTCATCCTATTTTTTGTGCCTTATCTTCAGTTTCTTTCAACTTTCACTCAGTTATGTCAGTTCTGAGGACTGTACTTGATTTGGTTGATTGTCTCTTTTGTTTGGTTTTATAAGAGGCAATCCCATTCCAGGCACATTCCATTTTCCTGGTACAACCAAACCCTTACCTTGCTTTAAGTTATGATGAGAGGAAACTGTATACTGAATTTGATGGTCCTAGCTCTTGCCATTTAGGAAGAAGTCTTGATCAGGCAGAAACTTTATATAGTAGATTTATATACTTGGACTGCAGTTGAGATGGAAATAGGACACAGATCTGTTAAGAGTCTCTGGGTAAGAATAAAAGGGAGGGGAATGGGGAAACAAGAGAGATGTCATGGTAGGGATCTACTACAGACCACCTAAGTAGGAAGTAAAAGTAGTTGAGACTTTTTTTTTTTAAACTAACAATCATCCATGACACAGGACTTGGTAGTGATGAGGGACTTCAACTGTCCAGACATTTATTGGGAAAATAACAGTAGGGGGAGGCTGTTCTAGATTTGATTTTAAAAAAGGAGCAGGTTGACAATTTGAAAGTGGAAGGCAGGTTGGGTGAAAGTGATAGTGAACTGGTAGAATTCATGATTCTAAGAAATGGTAACGGAGAGCAGCAAAATAAAGACAGTTTCAAGATGACAGACTTTAGCAAACTCAGGGAGTTGTTAGGTAAGATCCCATGAGAAGCAAGTCAAGAGGAAAAACAATTGAAGATAGTTGGCAGTTTTTCAAAGAGACATTATTAAGGGCACAAGAGCAAACTATTCCACAGTGTAGAAAAGATTGGAAGTAAGGCAAGAGATCAGCATAGCTTAACCCAGTGGTCCCCAACGTTTTGGGGCTGCTGGGAGCCTGGGGGTGGGGCCGCTCACAAGCCACGTGACTGGGGGCGGGGCCAAGCATACGCCGCACACCCAGGGTCTGGGCTGCCCAGGTTCTGTGCAGCCAGGGCCGGCAAGGGCACGTGTGGCGCCCCCGGAGGCGGGGCCAAGACCAGGGCCAGGGCCGGCAAGGGCATGCGCGGC